TATATTTATACTATTTGATCCTATAAGCATGCCTCTATAAGCTTTTTTTTTTCCCCCCAAGGAGAGCATGGGGTCCGTTTATTGGGGGGTCAGTCAAAGGGGGAGCTGGCTAGGGTGGGGTAGGGCAGCAGCTTGTCTGGCCCCCGAGAAACCCAACTTGAGTCCAGAGCCTCGACCACTTTGAAGCCAAAGTCTTCCTCCACCTTTATCTGCATGGGGGCCAGCTCCGGAGTCAGCGGGACTCCCGCCTGGCATCCTTCCCGTGGCACTCGCCGCCTCTTCCAACCGCTGGGCCCCTCACCAGGGGCCGGGCTGCTGGCTTCTGCAGGTGCTGGTGTCCTCCTGGGTGGGGACAGCCCCTCTTTCTCCGGAGGCTCGCTCTCAGCATTGCCTGGAGTGGGGTGTCTATGCCCTGGTTGCCCTCGTCCTCCAGTAAGATGGTGAACTGGCTGGCCCAGTAGTCGTCACCCTAGGAGTCCAGCACCCTCATGAGGAACCTCCGCTCCTGCTGGAGTCTCCGTGTTATCCTCTATATCTGATGGAGCCTGTTCAGGACCCGCTCGTTCACCTGCTCGATCTCCCTGCAGTGCCGACCCAGCGCTTGGTAAGTCCTTCGATTGAGTTCCTGTTGGCACCATGGCCACTGGCCTTGGGCTTCCTCCTCCTTTTCGTCTCTCTCCTGGAGGCTGGAGCTGCCCAGACCCCTAGACACAAACTCCACTTCGGTCTCAAGCTCGCTCTCCAGGATGTGACCACTGAACAGCGGAGGCAGCACCAGCTTCAAGCAGGGAGGTGCTGAGAACTCCTCAAAGCCCAAGGCTGTCATGGACCCCTCTCTCTGCTCTGGCTCCATTTCTCCCTGGCTCCCCGCAGAACTTCCAACCTTGCAACTTAAAGTGCAAAACGACTCGCCCTATCCGATTTCATGGTCAGGCACACAGGCCCCGGCAGCTAAGCCTCCTGGGAGTTGTAGTTCTCTATTTCCCCACTCGCTTTCCTCGCCCCACCCTCAATCCGAGTCCCTGCTGAAAGGCCCTGCTTGCTGGTCTAAAGCCACTGGCCAGGATCTGAGTCACCTCCATCTTTATTCCTGTCCCGACACCGCACAGTCTGACCATGGAGACTCTCCGCTTGGGAGGTCCCTGGGTCTCCTTCTGGGGCCTGGCTGCGTTGCCCCCGGGACTGGATTGTGTGCCCCAGCAGCGACACAGCCCTGGCCCCTGGGTCTCCTTCTGGGGCCTGGCTGTGTTGCCCCCGGGACCGGATTGTGTGCCCCAGCAGCGACACAGCCCTGGCCCCTGGGTCTCCTTCTGGGGCCTGGCTGTGTTGCCCCCGGGACCGGATTGTGTGCCCCAGCAGCGACACAGCCCTGGCCCCTGGGTCTCCTTCTGGGGCCTGGCTGTGTTGCCCCCGGGACCGGATTGTGTGCCCCAGCAGCGACACAGCCCTGGCCCCTGGGTCTCCTTCTGGGGCCTGGCTGTGTTGCCCCCGGGACCGGATTGTGTGCCCCAGCAGCGACACAGCCCTGGCCCTAATTTGCATATCACACTGATTAGCCAATGGGAAGGGTTGCGAAGTTACGGTTAATTACCATGTTTGTCTATTATTAGATTATATTAGATAGGATTGTTTTATTCTTTTAAGAACTTAAATCACAGGGTCTAATTACACTGAGACTTGCAGAAAAAATACTAGCTTGTTTAAAGAATGCTAGAAAGGGGGACTGAAAAATCCATTTATAACTGGAAGAGGTTATAGAAAAGCAACTCAGAACATTTATTGAGGATTATTATATTAGTTTTATTTAAAGATAAATCATATTACTTTTTAGGCGTGGTACATGAATATTGTATAATCTAATTTGTTTTATATCATTATGGCTTATTTCACCATAAAAAAATCTTCGTTAATTAATTATATGTCAACAATCTCACATTCGTTATCACATTTGGCCAACAGGTTCCAGGAAAAGGCTAATGTTTCAATTTTTATTTCTGCACTTTTTTTAGGAAGATGTCATACATTTTATTAGGCAATCTATTTAGAGTGATTTGTCTTAAGGAATATTATAGCAGGAGGTTCTTAATATTTGAAATAACTTAAAAATTTTAACTAAGTTAGAAAATGAAAATTACAGATTTAATAGGGAAGAAAAATTATGACAACCATTAACACTTTTGTTGTTTATCTTTTAATACTTATTTGGTACAAATGCAATCATCACTAGAAGAAAAAAATGAGATTTTGATGCATAATCTAATTTCTTAGTTTCAATATACCATGAATACTAATGTCAAAAAATATATTCATGAATTTTCATATTGTTTATAGAATATTTTATCATTATGGATATATCAAAAATATATAACCAACCTGCAGTTATTGGATAGTTGCAATTGTTTCATATTATTAGAAAAATGGTTTTATAAAAATTGTACCTGCACAATTCTTTGAATATTTCTCTAAACTAGATTTTTGGAAGTCAAATTGCTAGGTACAAATGCATGAGGATGTTTATGATTGTTGAGACAAATTGCCAATTTTTCTCATAAAATTACTCTACCAATATATACACAATTTGCAGGGCATGAACATGCCCGCTCTGCACCTTTGCTAACTCCACTGCTATTTCTTAAAGGCATGATAAAATGATTTTTATATCCACTAGACTGAGGTGTTGTCAAATATTAGCATAAATCAACATCCAAAGTAAATCTTAAAACCTAAAAGCCTGTTGAAATTATTAGTTTATAAATAAATTATTAAAAATAAAATCTGATACTTACGAACACAGTCACCTTCAATTTCGATTTCGTCAGGGCCGCATGGGTTTAATTTTGCATCAGAAATAGCTGCAAAAGGTTGAGTTTTTATATTTATCCAATTGAGCATAAAGATATAAATATATTTATATATAATATATATGAAATGACAAATCTTCAGAGAAGTATGTTTTAATACAGACTAAAACTTATTTGTTTTATTTTTTCATAATAAATTTTTTCTCTTTTCAGGATGAGATCAAATGGAGATAATTTGGGATTATATTTTAAAACAATTATAACTTTTATATCTTGTTTTCTAAATTTTAGTCTGCATTAAGTAATAAATTTTATTTATTTTATTATTTTATTTTATTTTAATCTTCACCCGAGGATATTTTTCTATTGATTTTAGAGAAAGTGGAAGAGAGAGGGAAAAACAGAGAGAAATATCAATGTTAGAAAAAAGCATCAATTGGTTGCCTCCTGAAGGCGCCCTGACCAGGGCCAGGGCCAAGGAGAAGCCTGCAACTGAGGTATGTGCCCTTGACTGAAATGGAACACAGGACCCTTTGGTCAGCAGACTGATGCTCTATCCACTGAGCCAAACCGGCCAGGGCTGGACGCTCTCTTCTTTTCCATTGGTCTATTTGTGTATCTTGATGCAAACGTAACACTCTGTAGATTCCTGTAACTTTAGAATAAGTCTCAATCAGATAGTGTAAATTATCCAACTTTTTTCTTGTCAAAGTAGTTTGGGGATTATGGCTACTTTCTATATCCATGTAAATTTTAGTATGAACTTGTCAATTCCCACACAAAAATCTTGCTGGTATATTGATTAGGACTGTTTTGGAACTATAAATCATTTTGAAGAGAATTGACATCTGAACATTGACTCTTTTTATTTCATGAACATGGTTCATTGCTCCATTATTTTAGGACTTCTATAATTTCTGTTAGCAGAATTTTATAATTTTAACTTTATAGTTCTTGTACATATTTTTCCATATTCATTGCTAAGTATTTCATATACAGGGTGTCCCAAAAACGTATATACACTTTAACAGATGATAGATTAATTGATGTTTCTTTCTTTTCAGATTTAACCCATTGGAAGTCATGATTATTCAAAGTTTGTATACATTTTTGGGGAGACACCCTGTGTTCAGTAATATTATTGACTAGAGGCCCGGTGCATGAAATTCGTGCGGGCGGTGGGGGGTTGTCCCTCAGCCCAACCTGCACCCTCTCCAATCTGGGACTCCTTGAGGGATGTCCGACTACCCGTTTAGGCCCAATCCCACGTCGGACATCCCTCTCCCAATCCAGGACTGCTGGCTCCCAACCGCTCATCTGCCTGCCAGCCTGATCACCCCCTAAGCACTCCCTGCCAGCCTGATCAATGCCTAACTGCTCCCCTGCCTGCCCGATTACCCCTAACTGCCCTCCCATGGCAGCCTGGTCACCCCTAACTGCCCTCCCCTGCAGGCCTGGTTGCCCCCAACTGCCCTTCCCTGATGGCCATCTTGTGTCCACATAGGGGTGGCAATCTTGTGTGTTGGAGTGATGGTCAATTTGCATATCGCCTCTTTATTTTATAGGATATTTACATGACATTTCTGATTGCTTATTGCTAGTATAAAGAATTATAAATGATTCTGTAGGTTGACCTTTTTCTTTCAGCATTGAATTTTTGAAATAGATGATTAAGTAATTTGCATTTATATTCTTAGGGATATTATTCCATACTTTTCTTTTCCTGAAATGCCTATATTTGGTTTTAGTTTCAGAATAATGCTAACTTGACAATGGTTTAGTAGTCGTTTCTCTTTATTTCTCTGAAAGAAGTGTATAAAAGTGGTATTATTTCCTTCTTAAATGTTTAACAGCAGTTCTCAACCTGTGGGTTGCGACCCCTTTGGGGGTCGAACAACCCTTTCACAGGGGTCGCCTAAGACCATCAGAAAACACATATATAATTACATATTGTTTTTGTGATTAATCACTATGCTTTAATTATGTTCAATTTGTAACAATGAAAATACATCCTGCATATGAGATATTTACATTATGATTCATAACAGTAGCAAAATTACAGTTATGAAGTAGCAACGAAAATAATTTTATGGTTGGGGGTCACTACAACATGAGGAACTGTATAAAAGGGTTGCGGCATTAGGAAGATTGAAAACCACTGGTTTAGAAGATTTCCCAAGCCATCTATGTAAGCTTGGTGGGGTGGTGGGGCTTTGTTGTTGTTGTTTGCTTTAGTTTTAGTCTTTTAGTGGGATAGATTTTAATTAGAAAAAGAATTTCTTTAATAGGTTATCTAATTATTTTTTTAGTGAGTTTTGCTTTCCTGTGTATTTCAAGAAATTTGTTCACTTTATTTAAATTGTCAAATGTATTGGCAATGTATAGTTTTTCACTATATTCTTTTTCATAGTAATTTCTGTAGAATCTGTAGTTGTATCTCTCTTTTATTCCTGATATTGATGTGTTTTTTTTCACTGATCAGTTTGGCTAAAATATTAATTTTATTGAATTTCTCCAAGAACCAACTTTTGATTTTCTTTAATTTTCTGTTTTGTGTATTCTGCTTCATTGGCTTTCACTCTGATCATTATTTCCTTTTGCTTACTCAGGGTCTTATTTGTGCTTCTTCTAGTTCCTTCATGTGTATAAGCTGAGTTTTTTTTTCTATTTATGACCTTTCTTATTTTCCAATATAGATGTTTGGTGGGTTTTCTTTAAATTAAATTAAAACTTTTGTGATATTCTAACTTTTTAAAATTGGGGTCGAGATGTGATCTATCTCGGTAAATGTTTCATGTGCACTTATAAAAAATATTGATGCTCTGTTTTTTGTAAAATTTTCTCTAAATGTCATGTAGATCATGTTGGCTGACAGTTTTTTTAGTCTCCTTTTTTGCTGTTTTTGTTTCTATATATTCAATTAATTATCAGATGGGTGTTGATCTCCAACATTAACTGTAGATTTGTCTAGTCTTTTCTATGTTTTGCTTCATGTATTTTGATTCTCTGTTATTAGGTACATAAGAATTTATAATTGTTATGTCCTGTTGTTGAATTGACCCTTTTATCATTAGAAAATGACCCTTGGTTTTCCAGGTTTGTCTGGGCAGTCTGTAGTTGGGCCTTATTTTTTTTTAAATCCAATCTGACTTTAAATTGGGTTGTTTATCCTCAAACTCTCAGTATTACTGCCCTATTCTCAGAAGAGGCTTTCTCTGGTGACACCTCATTATAAGTTTCATTTTTTTCTCACCTCAAGTATTCTCAATTATAGAAAAATTTAATCTTTTCATCCATACCATTAATTGCAATTTGTAATTGTATGAATATTCTTTGCCACAGTTTTGCTGTACCTGTGTTATTTGGGGTTTCCTAGTTTGAAAAGTCCAACAACCACAGGATGAAAATGTTCATAGGTGTTACTCATATAATTATTATTATTATTTGCAAGTGTTTGCCTAGTTTGATAACACTGGTTTATAACAGTACGTTCCAGCATTTTCAATCTTCTACATATGAATTTGCTCTTGATTAGACTGGGGTTGTGGCTTTTGAGGAAGAATATTGTTATCGTATGTTAACCTTTGTTATTGCTTGTTATATGTTAATCTTTGATGCTTCCATATCGACAAACATTTTTGAGTATTTTAAGATCTTGGCAAAGAATCCTAAACAAATCTGGCCAGTTTAAACTAGAAATTTAGCTTCACTGGAGCAATCATAGTGGATCAAATCTCTTGAGCATTGCATTAGCTCTATACAACCCATCTGGAGAATGGCATAAACACACTAGCATACACAGTGCCATGATTAGCAGTTCATGTGTATTACCCATGTATTCTTACCTTCTGCACAATATCCCATACACCCCTGAGTGGGTCGTAGTAAGTACACAAAAAATTGTCCACAGTTTCTTACAGACACTGGGATTTGGAAAAGGCAGCAGTCTTCAGTAGCGCTCAGCAAAAACTGCCACGTGGCACAAGCAGTCAGCTGCTTGAGCTCCCCCGGTGCAGGCATTGTTTCTGAGTCTCGCAGAGACAGCCAGATAGGAGCCTGTGTTCCACAGTGGTTCATCTTTTGCATCAGAGAAAACAAAAGTTGAAAATACAATTTATTTTTATACGTGGCAGATAAAGCAATTTTACATTTTCTTCTAAACAACCTTTAAAATATTAATTATCAATTATATTTTAAAAAATCAAATGACTTGTACCTGTAGTATAAAAGAAAAAGTAACTTTATGGAATAGTACACTTAAAGGTAGATTCCTCGTAATTAATATAATTTTATTCTACTGAAATACCTTTATTCCATTTGCTACATTTGTATTATGAACAAGAGAAATTCAGTGTCAGATAACCTAAGACAATATAAGTCAGTCTGAAGTCATCTTAACATATAGCACAAAGATGAACTGACATTGGAGATTTCTTGAAAAATTGCTGGAAATAGTATATGTAAGAAGTTAATGTACAGTTGAGGAGGCATCAAAAAATCAGGGGAGAAGGAAGGGATTGTTTGAAATCTAGTGAAAACAATTGGTTGGCAATTTGGAAAAAAATGAAGTTAGTGCCATACTTAAAGCTAGCTATCAAAACGAGTTTCAGATGGAAAATAAAATTAAATAGAAAACTAACCCAGGAAAAATATGAAACTATATGACTTGGGAAAAAATGACCGTGGACACTAAACATCTTTGCTTTTATAGTAGGTGAATTATAGTACCCACCTCATACTGCTGTGAAGTGTAAATTAAAAAATGTATATAGCACAACTTTCACACAGCGATGTCTCAATAATTGTTAATATAATTATTTTTCCATGCTTAAAAGCAAAGAAAAACTCATAAAGGAAAATTTTGATAGTTATATTAAATAATAATTTAATAAATATAAGACAAATGAGTTAAAGGGAAAATTACTTGTTAATAGCATTATATTTAGTCTGTTATATTATTTATTTATTATTACATTACTATATTTCTTATTTTATTTTAGCCATATAATATCCATTTAAAGATCCTAAAATCACAGATGGGAAAAATACACGAACATAATTTAAAGAATAAATACATATGTCTAATGAATACATGAGAATACTTAATACTAGAAAAATATTTTTATCTATTGCTACTGGAATTAAAAATTAGCATTATATTTTTAAAAAACAATTTAACTATGTATTTAAAAAACTCAAAAAGACTAAAATCAAACAATGATTTATATGCACATTTGCTAATTGCATAATTACTTATTATAGCAAAAGCCTGAAAGTACACACATATGATAATGGTTTAAATAAATATGGTGTACATATGACATATTATTTTCAAATGATATAATTTTAGTAATAGGAAAATGCAAATGCTGTAGCTGTAACTGGAAAATAATCATGTTAGGTAACTGAACATATAGCATGAACTTTACAAAACAATATAAATAAGAAGGAATAATAGCAAAATGTTAATGATAGAATATGTAGGTGGATTACCAATGAATGTTATTCTATTACCTGTCCTTTTTTTTTTTAAATTCTTACTTAAAGGCATGCAATATTTTATTTATTATTTTTTCCCTGTCCTTTATTTTCTGTTTTTTAATGCACATGAGTTACTTAAAACATTATAAATAGAAATTTATTTACACAGATTTTTATTATCTTGTAGACAAAAAGTAAATTCTATTTGTTCTCCAGCAGAATGGTCCAGGGACTAGGTTGCAGAGTGTATGAAAGAATGGAACAGGGAACACTTTTTTGTGGGGCACAGCTGATATCCAGGAAAAGAGCTAGTTCACCTTCACCTTTGTGTGAGGTTCTGGAATCAGTTATAGTTAATTTAAAATATAGAACCAAAAGAACACAAATACTTAAGGATGTAATGAATTTCCTCAAATTTTACTTTCAAATTCTGATTTATTTTTTAGTTTATTGCAGGTGAAATGTCACAAATGTGGCAAGCAAATAAACCAAAAGGAGAAAATAAGACAGCTACAATGTCACAACTTAAAATTTAAATATCTTTCCTGAGTTTTTCTCACATTAGTTACATGCTTAAAAGGGAAAATAATTCTTGTTTCTTCATAATTCACAAGATGTGAGTAACAATAAGGAGAATGAGCCTTCTATTTAAGACTGACAGGAACAGAAGCAGGTTTTGGGTTACTTGCGTTTAAGTACATGAGTACTGGACAGTGATGACTTGTGATCAAAACGTGGCTGGCTGACCTGCTAGCTGGGTGACTCTAGGAGTATTATGTCTAAGAATATATGTGTCCTGCACTGTATGATGCAAATAATAATGATCGACTGTATTCTAGAATTGCTGTAAAAATGATATAAGATGCTGTAGGTAAAATCACTTGGTGGACTGCATGAGCATAGCATAAACTATTACTATCTTCATTACATAATATAATAAGGAACATGGAACACTTCAGATTAATTCAATCTGGACACAAAATTAAAATAATTCAGCATAGGAAATAAATGGGTTGCAATAAGATTCAATCCTCCCATGAAAAAATATACATAAGAACAAGCACATACAGTTCTTAGTGAGTTGGAATACCTCGACACATTTGGTTGGCATCTCAGCAGATCTGTCAAAGATGACAAATCGATACCATCCAGCAGCAAGGGAATGGTCACATATCAGGTCTTGAGGGGCTGACTGCTGGAGGAGCGATGAGTCAAAATGGACACTTCTGTGAGGGCTCTGTAGAAACCGGTGTCCCCCGGGAGAGCACTCCTGAGCTAGGATGGAAAGATAAGTATCTTTATGTAAGTGTGCTCTTCGTTAAAATAGTTCAATTAATAGTTGACTATTGAAGTCCATTTTTTATTACTAAGCGCAGGAAAGGGTAGACAGGAACAGTTTTGAGGGAGGAACAAGAAAAGACCAGGGAGAAAGGGAGAGTTCTGTATTTTCTGAGCAGCAGGTGACCCGGAAGATACTTTTTCTCTCAAACCCACTAAGAACATAAACCTCCTCTTCCCAGCATAGAGGAGGCAGCAGAAACAGAATAATTTGAGAAATACAACTCTTCTTTGAGGCTCCTGATTCCCAAATAATAAGAAACACAGAAATTTTCCTTATTTGGATACTAGAGTACCTTGTTGACACTGTAGGTAGAAAATCTCTAAGCATTAAATATTATATTTGTTGAAGGAAAACAATATAATAAAAACAAAATCTATGAAATAGAAATTTGAAAGAAAAATTCAGTCATTATTAAAGTATTCACTGTGAAAAAAAAGATCTAACTGAATAAAACTCTCAAACATTTATTATATAACTTCATGCTATAGAAGTGTTCATAAAGCAAAATTAATTTCTGAACTTAAATTAATGAGCACAAAAAACTAGAGATATTAACTTGCAAATAAATCTCACAAGTATAGCTTATAAAAATTATTATAATTTTCTTCCTTTTTATTTTTATTGCTTGTAGTTATAACAATTAAACTGTATGAAAGGCACTGTTTTGCAAGATAAAATTTCTCCCTAAATAATTTTTTTAGTAAAATATTTTAGAAATGAGTCCAAAAGTTCCTCTTCTTTTTGTCTCTTGCTCCACCAGTTTTAAATTTCCCAAGAAAATTTTGGCCTCAAAGGCTCTTGTGGCTTTAGATATTTTATAAAGTGTGTGTGGATAGAAGTCAGGGGATATGCTGTATATGTAATTTTGAAATAGCTCTAAGATCTTGTCAATACCAGAATATTGCACCTGGTTAGAAACTAAGGAAAATGTTTAAACAGAGATTACTGGCGAGGTTTGTATGAATTATTGAAATATTTTCTCTGATCTCCTTGCAATAGAATTTTGTGTTGGGGGAAAAGTCAATACCTCCATCTTTATTTTGTGAAGTATTTCTCCTTCCTAAGTGCTTCTGTAGTTCCCACATGTCCTCTGATTTTGCAGTTTTGAAGAATTATTTTTCTAATGCAAAGTTAAAGATATGATGGATATAGGAATGACAGTATGACACCAATAACACTAAAAAATGCATAGTATTTAAACAGGAATTTATAGTTATTTTTATTTAATATTTAGGAAACTTCTTAATTTACATAATTAGGAATAGCTCATATTTTAAACTAGAGAGCCCGGTGCATGAATTTGTGCACTGGTGGGGTCCCTCGGCCTGGCCTGTGGGGATCAGGCTGAAACTGGCTCTCTGACATCCCCCGAGGGGTCCCAGATTGCGAGAGGGCACTGGCCAGGCTGAGGGACCCCACCTGTGCATGATTGGGGCTGGGAAGGGACCACAGGAGGGCTCCAGGGTGTGTCTGGCCTTGTCTCGCCCAGTCCCGATCGGCCGGACCCCAGCAGCAAGCTAACCTACCGGTCGGAGCATCTGCCCCTGGGTGGTCAGTGCGCATCATAGTGACTGGTCGAATGGTTGAACAGTTGGAGGGACAATTGGCATATTAGGCTTTTATATATATACTAGAGGCCCGGTGCACAAAAATTTGTGCACTGGCGGGGGGGGTCCCCTCAGCCCCACTTGTGCCCTCTCACAGTCTGGGACCCCTCGGGAGATAACGACCTGCTGGCTTAGGCCTGCTCCCGGTTGGCAGAGGGCAGGCCCAATCCCTAGGTGCCTGCCCCGCAGCCCCTGGTCAGGCTCAGAGCAGGGCCGATTGGGGAGTTGGGGCGCCTCCCCCTGTCATGCACAGAGCAGGGCGGATCAGG